AACTTCTAATATTCTGTGATTCTGTGAATGTAACTACTTGCAAAAAGACTAGCACAGAGTAGCTTGAATATGATAAACCAGTTTTGAGTTACTAGACAACCTAGGATGTAACAAGTACTGTTACTGCTATAATTAATATTCCTTAGAAAATCCTTTCTTTGCTTTTTATTTCTAAACTAGAGAGACTAGATTTTGATGGTAATTCAAATGTTTCTGTTTTCATTTTTGCAAAGAAAGGGAGAAGTGAAGATTCTTATCAATAAAAAGTTTTCTCTGTGAAAACAAAAGGTCAGAAGCAGGAAAGGGGACATCACTACTGAAAACAGCCACATCACAGTAATTCACAGAAGCTGCTAGAATCCATGAGCTACTTTTTCTGCCAATATAGAGCACACAGAGTAAGAGAAGTACACCAAATGGAGGTGGTGTGTAAAAACCCAAACAATTGCAGAGCTCAGCACAAGTATCCACCCTGAAGACCCTCTACTTCAAAGTGAACTGCGCCAGACACCACAGTTTACAGGTCAGATTTTTACGAGAGCTCAAAACTCCTAACAAGGGCAAATTTTTTATCTTCATCCATCTGGACAAGCCAGACTTCCAAGAGAACTTCATATTGGATGCATTCCACAATCCCTGAAAAAAATACCTGTATTCAAATACATATATTTTTTTCACATGAAATCATTGGTTCTGTGGCAACATGGAGAATCCACAACAGCTCCAACTGTTTCAGCAGCACTTACAACATTACTACTCAATTATGTAGGGAATTCACTCACTCTGGCCAGTTCCTCTTCATCTATTTCTGGCTGTCTGTGTCTGGAATGCCTTTGTTCCTCATCATGAAAAATTGTTTTGGGCTTTTCATCTTCAGACTCGCTGTCTGATGGAGGTTCATTGATCCAGGCATCCAGGTCCAAGCTGGTAAGAATTACAGTAAACAAATAGCTTGGCTCAGTACCCCTGAGTATTTCAGTGTTTCTCATCATATACTTAGCTTTACTATTTAAAAGTTTAAACAAGGCTCTGGGAGAGAGAAGGAACCTTACCCCTCCGGAACTGGGACTTTCTTCTGTGCTTTAGGAGCCACTGGGTTCAGCTCACCAGCAAACAGGGCAATTACTTCCTCAGCTACAGGTACTTCTTTTATTTGTAGCTTCTGAATGTATTTTATTAGTTGCAAGATACAAGAAGCCTAAAAACAAATGCAGAAGTAATTTCAGAATTAATATTAATTGGACCAAAAAAATTGACTGCAAGGAAAGTCAGCAAAAGATAACTGTTCTACTCAATTAAGGAAATTTAGAGAAGCAGCATAAAATGCAGGTTCAAAGCAAATGTTAAAAAAAAAATCCACGTTAACCCTCTCTTCTATCCGTGTCCTTTTTGTGTCCTTATGTGCTTGCATAATTTTAAAATTAAATTGTTTTGAGTGAAATTCTTGCAAGCAGCTTTCAAAGGTGGTACAGAACTGGAATAAGACCTGGGCTGTGACATGAAACGCCACCCCTCTTCCCAGCCCTCGAGTTCTACAGCTTCTCGTTCACTGAGTTACACAAAGTACAGCACAAATGCACAACTCCATTGACAGCAATGGCTTATATAAAACACGCCTATCTTTAGATACAGATATGCTCCAAGACAAGCAAGAGACCTTGTATGATAAATTCCAAAGTAATTTTGTTCTCTTACCCTCTCCTGAACTTCTAGATCTGCACTCTGCACAAACTGAGGCAAACGCTCAATCATCAGCTGTGTAATTTCCTGAGCTGCTTCCTTTTCCCCAGATTGCTCTTTCTGCTGCAGGATGGAGGCATAGAGCTTCACCATGTTCTGGACATAAACTGCCTGGATGTGGCCTGGCAGAGTTGTAACTTTAGGCCTCAACATTGCTTCTAAAGTTTGGTTCGCTTCTTCAAGGTGTCTGCAAAGACAGAGTGGATAGAAAAGACAGGAATGGAGAAATTTCAGTGTTTCATCAGTCTTCATAGAGAAGAATTTTTAAAAAATCTTGATTGCAGTACAAAGTACTACACAAAGACAGGACAGACTACAAACATGTAATCATTTGCTCTCTGCGTATTTTCCCCTTCTAAATTACAGTAGTAACATGGCAAAGAATAATTTACAGCTTTATCCTTTTACAGAAGGAGCGGGACACCTCAGTTTCCACCTTTACAAGTTCGATATTCTCTCCAGTAACAAAGCATTGCACTTCTAAGTGCCAACTCCATTGACAGTCTGCATCTAGCAGCCCAAACTACCTTGCTGCTGTTCTGTACTTCACCACTCACATCAGTGAGGTTGTATTTCCAATCATTTACTGAACAAAAATACAACCTAGTAGGCAATGCTTAATACACAGCAAAGAATGCAGATGACTTCCAATTCTCAGAAAGATTAGGTTCTGCAAAAGCCTTTCAACAAGGGCAAAAGAGAGAGGAGAGCAAAAACTCACTCAAACATGTTGATTGTATATTTTTCCTATGATGTAAGTGAGGTTAGACCTTCATGACTAAGGAGTTCCTTGAATGTCTTAAGATCTTACTGCTTATAAACACTATTCCTTCCTGCATGAGTGGGCAGGACTACAGAGACAAGAAAAAAGCAGATATTCAAAATGCAGTATCCATCTTGGCTAGAAACAGCTGAGGAGCCTTATGGGGTGAGGGAACAGGAAGAAGCAAACATTTTGCTAGCTTTAGGGGGCGTATTTTGAACCACCCTTCTCTCCAAAAAAATACTTTTTAGTGACCTGAATCTTTGCCCAAAAAAAGCTGATCAAAGTGCATCAGGTTTTCTGTTTGCACTTACTCGGAGAACTCCCCGCATATCCAAGCAGCAGCATAAAGCACCTCACAGATCCCATTTCTCTGGGTGTTGCTGGCTATGAGATGAGCATTGTCCAGAAGCATGGCCATTTGAGAAACTGCAAATTTACGAATGGCTTTAACTCTGATAGCTACATCTAACATCTGAGCTGCTATAAGATGCCCATGCCGCGTCCCTTCCAACCGGGTCAGCTCCACCAAGATGCTTATGTACCTACAAAAAGTGAAAGAGATGCAATTTTAGCAGCAGACAATTGTGCATTATCATTGCTGATGATCTCAAAGCTAACACATAAAAACACTGACCATTCAAAGTTTGTGATATATTGATAATTGGACTGACTACAAATATCTATGATTTTGGTCAGCAGCTCATCCCGGTATGTCGTCCCTTCTGCTTTATCCACGTGAATCATCAGTTTCTTCACTATCTCCATCAAGTTCTTCTTTGATACCTGTTAAAGAATTATTGAAGGGTTGAACCACAACTAGGCCATTTCCCATACTGTCAAGACCTGTGTTATGTGTTAACAAGCCAGAATCACCTCTCTATCTCTCAATTTCAGTCACAATCGAAAAAGGAACCTGTTTATTTCTTTTCAATGTTGTTATTAAAGCAGAGTCAACACAAGTACACAAGACCAGAATCAGTATTACTAGCAGCAATACAGAAACCTAGGAGAAAATGAATAATCTTCTGCCAAAGTAGCAAATTTAATAGTTTAAAACATTTTTTTTTTTGCTTCTAAACTTTGGAAAAAAAATTGTCCTGAACACCCAACAGAATTCTAGCATTTCAAAACATAGCCGTATTAACTCACTCTGGAAATTTACTTGTCTAAATAAAACAAAATATTCAGTAAACACCACCAGTTGTTGTAACTCACTGCTTCCAGCTATGATCTCTCAATACGTACGTGTTAAAGACACCACTAACAAAAGATTTATGTAATAGGAGGAGCAGCTGAAGCTTATGCATTGGAAAAGCAGCCTTCTGGGTGACTTCCACAGTGCCTGAACTCAGAAACTCCAGTCTGAATCAAAGTTTTTAAAGCCCTCTTATGCTATGCAGATCCTTTACTTATCATAAGTGCCCAAAAAGACATAGGAGCCATTATCACAAGACTACTGGGGAGAGGGGAAAAGAAAGTTGCACGACTGCCTTAAACATCAGGCTCCTAAAGGGTCACAGGGGTTGGAGAGGAAAGGAAACAGATGTAGAAACGTACCATGCCATACAGCAGATCTAAAGCTCTGAGTCGGATAGACTCATCTTTGTCATCCAGACATTGGAGAATGAGATCCTTGTGAGACTGAACTGACTTAGGATGCGTTTTCAGGATTTTGGACATAGCTAACAGTCCCAGGTATTTCACTGTGAAAGAAAAAATAAAACTTCTTTCCAAATATAGAAACACTGTTTTGTGTTGAGCATGAAATCGTAACACTGAGCACTTCTACAGAAACCAACTTAAATACACTTGAGGAAAGAGCTGCGATGAGGAAAAGCATTTTGGAGAAACAGTGTATCACAGATTACAGTATTTAATTTCATAACCCCACATACAGGCATGTATTTACATATATAATCTTCATCACAGTCTTCTTGCACCCCAAGTTTTCTCACCGATTTAAAAATATGTATTTAATATATAGAAACTATGGGTCTTGGGAACAGGCATCCTGGGATGAACACAGCTTTAAAAACACCAAAGTAGGAGCCCTGTTCTCAATGGAAAAAAAATCAGACAGTAAGAAAAAAGGTTTGCACAAAAAAAATGTTTCCCAGTGTTCTCTGCAGTCGCTAAAATAAGTAAGCATTCTTACATTTTATTATCACGCTTACACTGCTGAATACCCCTCACTACTTTCCAAGCAGCAAGTTTATAAAAAGGGAAAACCCAAAGCATGGAAAGTGACTGCTTTAAAATTTACAAGACCACAAGCAAACACCCATGTAACACACACGTAACAATCTCATTTGTTTTAAAAAAGCTCGTTATAAAGAAGTGCTCACTATCAAAAATTATTTCCACATTGAAAATCCAGGCAATTGTTTACAGCCAACCAAGCACTACGATACTGAACAAGCTGTGTGGAGAAACAGCTCATTGCTCTAAGACCACTGCCATTTCTCCCCATTTGTTGGTTTCTAAAAGCTTCCATGAAGACAAGCAACATACTTACAGTTCTGGTCCGAATCTTCTATCAATATCCTTAACTTCTGAACACAAAGCTGGAAAAAAAGACCACGTCAAGTTTATTACAAGCTTTAAAAGTCTTAATTAAAAGAATTAATAAAATTTATTCAATACACAAGGAAGCATTCTGACCAAGACGCAGGGCCTCTAGGTAAAAGGTCTTGTTGCATTAACAGATTTCAAAACAAAATAAACCTCCATATGATTATATTGATAGTAGCAACTGAATAAAGGAGTTAGGAAAACACTAAATGAGAAGAATCTGCATTTAAAGCAAAAGAAATAAGAGAATTTATATAGGAAATGCTTCAGTCTGGAGGAGAGTGCTTCAGGGAGCTAATGCTTTCACTTTCGGCAGAGGAACACAGTCCAATTTCTCCATGGCACTTGGTATTACACAGCAGAGCAGAACAAATACCGCCCAGCAAAACCCAGCGCTGTACCTGGATGCTGGCGCTGTGATTGGGCATCCCAGAGGACAGCGAGATCAGGACTGCAACACACAAGCACAAATTTCAGTTAGTATTTCTGTGTCCTGAACGAATGCAGCAACAGAGCATCTAAAGGTCAACACCCAGCTCAGCTGACAAGGAAAGATGGCAATTTATTCAGTTGTTTGTCTGCTTGGACTTTTTGGGGGTCTGGGGGGAGGAGAGAAGGTTGTGACATAAACTATAGCTTCATATAGTTTAGAGTAATAATAGCAGGACAGGAACTAGAAGTGTAAAGGTAGGAACTACCGGAACAGCCAGGTCAAAGCTGCTTTTCATTACACTTTGCTCTCGCTAAGGTTTTACTTTACTAATAGCACGCAGCAGTCATGACTGCTGTCATCAGCTACTGTACAGCTGAATTTTTAAGTGTGCACTTCTCTAATATAATGAGATGCAGCACTGGATCCTAGAGTTTAATGTAATTAGATTGGAGTTTTAATCAAGCCAGCAAGACACTCCAGGCAAAAAAGTCAGGTCCTATTGTAGATTACATTGGACATTTGTAAAGATTGGGCAGCACGCAACCCCACCGCAGAAAAGGTGGCATTGTCTTGTTAACTGCTGCTGTCATGCAGCATGTCCAAGCTAACACCAGCTCTTACTGAGCATCTCACACATGCTAACCTTAGTGACCAATAAGTGCAGTGGCATTTTGCTCTCTGTAATCCTGCAGACCTCCATTTCAGAGAAGGAGGGTTGGATGCTATCATTTTGGGTTGTGCAGAGAGCTGATAGGTGCAAGGCGCTGCTCTGACACAGGCTCACAGTTTCACATCTCATTTTCTGAATTTGAGTTTCATATTACAGTCCCCAAACAGGCCCCGAGGTGTCCTAGGTGCATGAATTTTCCTTTCACCCACAGAATTATCCTGTTGCATCTCAGGGCAGCACACTCTTATCCACAATGGAATTAACCTCTGTGTTATTTCCCCCCCATCATAACGTCAGCTCAAATTTCCCTGAAGGAATGAACAATGTAACAACAGATGACCTTTTCCTCTCTGAACTGACCCAGTACAGCAAATTCCTGCATCATTATCCAAAATACCCACGAGAGACAAGACCTATGGCCAAACTGTGGGTGTCAGTAACCCTCTACTTCCACACTATGATAGAAAAGTGCAAAGTCTGAGCTGGAATACTGTGTTGTCCCTTTTTGCTCTTGTTTCTCTCTCCATCTCCATCATGGAGTTCATGACCCTTCCCCACAAACTGAAACTGTAAAAATCAATTATTCCAATGACCTCCTTTAAAGATTCACACCAAGTTTTTAAGCTGTGAAACTGTAGAATTAAAAAAATAAGTCTGCTCATTTATCACATAGGAATACTTTGTCAAAATTTCCATGAAGCATCAGGTTTTTTTAAATCTACTGCTGCTGGTACCTTTCCTAGTTCTAGCAATATTTAGGACCCTGCATATAAATAATTACTCATTGTTTGTTAGTACATTGTTTCATGCTTTAGCAAATACAACGTAGCTATAGTAACTCAGCTTCATCGACTGACAACCAAGGATTTCAGTTACAGTTACACAGTGACACAAATCAAAGTTTGTCAGGCAACTTATTTCAGTTACAAAATACGTTGAGCTAAAAAAAGATTTACAGATAGTGTTAATTGATGACAAAGTTCATATTCTTTTCTAGGTTACAAACTTCAGTTCTCACCTGCTATTACTGTGTTCACACATTCATATAAGAGAGACATGGCTGAGGTGCTGAAAGAGAAAGCAAGAGTTTTAAATAAGGAATAAACCAGCACATTTTGAAGAGTTGTCAGCAATATCTTCGGGCTAGTTAACACCTTTAATTACACAAGAAATTGCCAGTATTCTGCTCAACATATCTTCAGACTAGATGAAATGATTTTCACTCAAAAAACTGTCAGGGGGAGGGAAGGGCTACTCAATGTTAAAATTAATAAAAATATAATCTTCTCCAAGAAGCAGCAAATAACAGCACTGTAACACACGAGATGAGGAAGGAAGAGGTTACTCCGAACCTCAGTACCGGTTACTGAGCACTGAAGCAATCTTGTCTAAGGATCAAATCAAATCCTCTGCCCAAGGTCAAGAATCCACGATAAGGCAGGCAGATGGAGAAGCTCAAGTCTCTGCTCCAAAGCGAGTGAGTCACACACAAACAGCATTCTGCTAGCGTGCAGGTATGTGCTCGCTCATCCTTATAAGCAAGCAACCCATTTTCAACGTCTCATTTCCCCCAAAACTTAAATTCAAGACAACTTCTGGCAGTTGAACACACATGCAGTGCAATTCTGAGGATTTCAAAGGTACTTCTAAATCCTGACCAACACAAGAGGGAAATGCAGCGAACCTGTCAAAGCTCAAAGTAACAAAGGAGCCGACGCCAGAAGCAAGGAGCAAACAGCTCTGGAGGCAGCAGGCAGGAGCAATGCCGTGAAGGTCACCCAGCACATCATATACTCCAGTATGATCAGAACCAAAACAACCATTTTTGCCCCCTTATCCATTTTGTGGTGGATGGCAGGGTGGTTTGCCCTATGCGTAAATGATATGAGATCCAAAATGACTGAATGGAGACCAAACCAAACAGGATTAAGTCCTCATAAATAATACAATGAATTACTAACGCAGGAGTTGGTGAGAGGAGGTGGAGGCAGGATTGAAAACATACTGTCCATCTTCCTGCTTTTTCTGGCAAAGTACTGCTTCTGGTGAATTTGGATGGATTTGTCACTGCTGCAAAAACTCTTCTTTAGGTATTTGAGGCAAGGCTGCTGGCTGGGCTGTTCTGAACCAGCCTCAAAGGTATACTAGGAGGATGGACAGAAATTGTTTGGCTAGAGCTGCTCTCATGGCGACACAGATATCCATTTAAAATCTGCTCATTGCCATCTATCTTCTTGTTCTGACACACGAAGAGAAACAAACTTTTTAATTTAACAACTCGTGCATAAGATCACACTGCCTTTTCGTAACTGGGAAAATACATGTATTCCCTTCAAGATACCTACTTTCTGATCTCAGTTCAGAATAAGATCCAAAACAACACTACAAACCAGCTTTAACAAGGAATAAGGAAATATCTTCAAATTTATCTAATCTATATTTAGGATATATATTAAAGTAGTCTCTTCCAAAACATGTCTGGGCTGACAGGCAGGAGAAAGAACTTTAATATATTCCTTGTCACGCTGCTTTGGTGGGTAAGGCACTTCCAGAAAAGTCAAGTATCAAATGTGTATGTGAACAGAAGCGGCAAACACACAGCTGAGCCTTTTTTAAGTCAGAGTTTTTATATATTCTCCACAGTCATTTCTGGCTTAAAATGAAGTGAAAGGAAAGCAAATTGCTCCAATTTTCATGCATGCTTTGGAGAAATTCATGCTGACAGTCAGACACCCAAAGACTTTCCTTTAAGGTATTTTCTCCCACTCAGGTTTTTCAGAAACAGTCCCGATGCGATTATCCTTTGATACTTGAAGCCAATATATGAGACTCAAGAAAAAGTTCAGAAATGCATGCACAGCTGCAGCTACTGACCTACCTACCAGGCACGTCACAACCCTGAATGGATAAAGAAATATCTGTCAAACATACCTATGGATGAGGTTGGTCAGAGGCTCAATCAGTTTCTTTCCCAGCCTAGGTTCTAATGGAGTAAGAGCACCAAACTATTAAAAAAGAAGTGCAGACAAGAAAGTGATTTAATAGCTGCTTTATAAAAACTTGATTTAAATTGCAGCTCATTATATTTAAACCAAGCTGTATTAAAATATTATTCTCTCTTTGGTTACGCTCACAAACATCAGAATATATTCCTGATTTCTTTTTCTTCATATTGAATGGTAACTATACTTCCCAGCAAGAAATCTATTTTCACTCCCAAGGTAATTTAATGAGAACCCCAATCCTGTAAACATAGATCCAGAATACTTGCCAGTTTTATAATTTTAATGAGAACCCAATTATTGGTTGACGACGTCATCAACTTGAAAAAGAGTGGAGCAAGGGAAAGGTAGTTTTTGGGATTGCGTCGAGCCAGCTCACAAATAACATTTACTGCAGCAGACTGCACACCTGGGAAAAAGTGTGGGAAAAGCAGAAATCTCATCAGTACCTTAATTGTAATTGAAGTTTCTGGAGCAGAACTCCCAGAACAAAAGCAGCTGAATATTCAGACTTGTGTGTCCAACAGGAATGGTTCAGCTTCATTACCAACCACGAGGCAATGAAATAACCACAGGAATGCAAAAACAAACTGAGGAAGGAATTTATCTAATTTTGGCTATTTTCTAATATATCAGCTATTTAGGTATCTGCTTTGGGTCCAGTATTAGAAAGAACAGGACACTGCTGGCATCCTTCCCTCTTCATCGAGGATAGCAGTGGGACACAAACAACAAAATAATCAATAATCCTACTCACCATAAAGTTTCAAAACACATTTGTTTCTTTTTAATGTATTGTTCAGACATGCTCCACAAAAATAATGAATCTTTAAACAATCTGACTGGGCAAGTTAATTCCTTTCTGAGTGCTCAGTCTCTAAATTGATTGTTCTCAGCTTGTGATTTTTTAGTCTAGATAGCGTGGGTTTTCTAGCAGAGAGCAGCCCTTTTTTCCATAAAGCATCATACATCAACATTTTCTTCCTCTGTCTGCAGGTGTAGTGGGAGGTGCTGTGCATTTTGTTTTTTTCAAAAACACTGTGCATGGAAGACACATCTTACACGCCCACACCAAATCAGTCCAGTACACACAATTAATTTCTTTCCCTCTAAACACGCAAACTAAATCAACTGGAGATCTCAGAACTGCACTGCACAAGGAATTCTTGAAACAAGTGTACAGCGTTCTAGTGCAGTGAGGGGAGACCAGCACCTTCTGGGAAGACTGAGTAGAAGTGTGACCATGATACAGAGCAATTGCAGACTTCCTGTGCTGCAGCTGAATTGCACTGACACGGTACTGAAGGGCCCAAACAGCAGTCTGGACTCAAAGCTTAAATTTGTAAAAATAGAGGAAAAAACCCTATCGTAAGTGATGTGAAATTATTTTAAATACATCCATTGCAAGCCAATAGCTGCAGCTTTGTAAAATAGCACAGAAAACAACAAAAAAACCTCAAACAAACCCTGAAATCAACTGAAGTACCAGGAATCACTAAGTAGCTTTGTGAAATGAAGGTTTAATCCACTGGTATAGTTTCAGCAGCTTTGGGTTTGAAGAATTGGACATTTTAAGGAATGTTTTTTTAATACAGCAACATCTGTGAAAACTCTCATATGTTCATCTCCCTATTAAACAAGCAAATCGGCACCCAAAAGATGAGTGCAGCATTTTTCATGTATTATTCTCTCCCCCAGCTCTACAAGCACATATACCTAGGTGTTTTGGAGCAGAAGTAATTGACTAAAATCCACTCACCAGGATCTGGATCTTCAAGTTTCTCTTTAAGGCGAGGAAATGCGGGACGGAGGGACTCTGGGTATTTCAAAAAAACTTTGTACATGATTAACACTGCCTTCTTCCTGATATAAGGCTTTGTATGAGACATCTGTTAATGAAACAATTGCAATCAGACTCTTTGCAAATCTGTCTTTCCACAGTTCTTCTCAAGGTCTGTATGTCCATACCCATTTCTCAAAATTTCTTCCTTGGACATTCAACTTTTACAAAAATCAGCTTTGAGGGGACAGCAACGTACTGCTATTTAAAACCAAAACTAACAGAAATATTCATGATAATCCCCTTGAGTTCACTAAAGTCTGCAAAGGCTCCTCAAAAACTCCACAGGAACACAGCATTGGTTTTCACAGGTAACAGTTCTAAATTCAACAGATTTTTACCAGATTTAAACAATTTAACATTTTTTAATTACAGGAAAAAGTTATTTCAATCTTATCAACTCACCAGTGTCATGATGTCATTTGCCAAGTCCCTGGCAAGATCTGGAGTAACAAAACAGGACAAGCCAGTCAGTGCAACTCCAGTATCATACTGGTTAGGGCTACTCAGATCCTAAAAAAGGAAAAACAGGCTCAAAAATTTAAGATCACACAGGATGTTGAGAAACAATTTTCTCAGACTAATTTGATTCACTCAACAGATATGAAGCAGAGCTTCTACTCCATGGGAATACTTCTGACAACTACCATCAGGAATGTCCTTCAGCACCTGCTAAAATACAGCCACCCTGAGGTTTAATAACGCGCATGAGGAAACATAATTAAACAATAGATGGATGACTGCAATGTAAAAGAAATGAGAGATATTGCACCTTGGTGGTATTTCAGGCATGGCAAATAACTTTGTAAAACTCATGGCATGATCACAAATGTGTTTAAAACTTTAAAAATTTGGTGTTAAGTACCAAGCCAGCTAAGCCAAAGCCCAACTGTCAAGAACTTCATTGAGAGCAGGTGCTCTTGCTGAGTGCTTAACAGTGGCCTAGCTTAGTCTCTCTATTAGAGAAATGAGATGATATTTCTTCCAAGCTGCTGGCAGCACCGTAACTTCCAGTCCATAAAGACAAAACACATTTTATTGGACTATTTATTTATTTGGACTTATTTGTAGTCAGTATCGCACATAGTCTTTCAGGTTTTTCTAAGCTTCAGACTCTTACCAATATTAATATTCATATCTATGTTCAAGCATGGATTATAAAACCAGCTCTCATTGAATACAGGATCAATCTAAACTGCAGTTATTATGAAACAAGAATACGAAGTGAACTGCACCGAGCATTCCCACATGAACTACCGAAATTAACTGTCCAGATTCACATGTACATGGAGGCTGCCTTAGGAGCTAAACATAGTCAAGCCTTCAGGGTTCTGTGCCATTTGCATCTCATTTCAAAACCTTTTGCAGGTGGTAGGGGATTAGATTTGACTTCGAAAATAATGAATCTACTTCTTTAGGAGCAACAAAACTGCAATTCATTCAGGCTTTAACACATACTGAGAACTGGTAACCCCTTAAAATACAAAGTTCCAAGATCAATGAAACATGAAAAGGCATAAATAAAGATGCTTTTTAAGTAAAAACCCAGGCACAAAACCTAAGAATTAGTCTAGTGACTGCAATTCAGTATGGATGTTATTACAAATATGCACTTGTCTGAGCAGAATACTTTAAGACATAAAAGGTAAAAGATAAGGAAGATACTGGATAACTTCCCACAATTATACCAAACAAATCAAAAGCCTGATCTGTCACTACCAGAAGAAAACAGGCCCCCACAAATACCAATTTTGTGGAGCTAGGCGACCGCTCATTTTACTTGAGGAATGGGGACATTTTTCTTACCCATTACATTCTGATAAGCACTGCCCAAGAGACTGGGAATATTAATAAAGGTTACTGTTGAATAAACACAGAGCTGGTATAAGACAGCACGAGGGAAGCCTATGGACAGCTCCAGAGTATTTAATCAATCCTTCAGCTTGTGGAATGAGAGTATACTGTGAACCAAGTAAACATAATTCTACTTAAACACCTTTATATTCCTAAAAGAGAAATACTTTGTACAGATTTGAAAATACAAGCAGAGGGGCAGGGTCAGAAAAAATTTAAGAACTGAAGTAAAAACTTTACCTTTCGGATCTGATTAGTAGTCAACATAATTACATCAGTCCCTTCGTGAAAGCACTGAGAGGCAGCTAGGTAACCGATTCGCTGAAAAAAGGCAGGGAGAAAAAAATTAAAGTAAGTTTAGACAATGTTTAGATGAACCACAACAGGTAGCTTGATAAGCAATATTAAAAAGATGAACAATTAGGCAGGAGGTTTAGACAACAGAAAAGGCATGACAGGGTTCTCTAGAAAAGGTTTATATCAGGAGAGAATAATCTCAGACAAGTTACATCTCTAGTGATACCACATCTGTCTTAAGGATAATAAAACTAGCTTCACCTTCTCTACTGTGTTAGAACATACAGGTTCAACGACCACAAAGATGTAGAAATAAGGTAGGATTGTCAGTGGCAGAAATGGAGAATATTACATTTATTTTGTCTGCGTGGACTCCTGACTTTCAGGTACAAAAGCCCTATTTGGAAACTATTTCTTATGAAGTAATATTCCACCCTGTTTGGTGGAAAAGGTCTGCAGCACAGAGCAATGAACAAAACCTGTCAGGAAAAATTATAAAGCTATTACAAAATAAAATATGTCTGTTACTAGGAATCTGAGGTGGTCTTCACATAAAAATACCCTGTTTTTTCACAACAGACATCTGACAGCTATTGTCAAACATCTCGTAGAAAAAGCCTACAGAAGCAGACTGTGTATCATCCATTTACTAGAAACAAATGCAGTCTACTGCCTTTCTGTGTTGGAGAAAGCAAACCCAAAGATGATGTACTGACGCATTCATTAAATACAGTAACAAAACAGCTTGGCAAGTACAGTTGCAGTTACACAGAGAACTCACTTTGAATGTAAACTTTGATGCACTCATGACTTCAATAATATTGAAAGCAGCCCAACTGATGTCATAGCCCAGCATCTGTAACTGTGGGGAGAAAAGCCAAGATAACAAACTTTTGAAATAAGAGACTCAAAATAGGTCAAGATACCTCACAAAACTGAAGATGCAGCAAGAGTCCAAAAATAATACAAGACATCTCAAGATTATGAGTAATGTTACACTCTACGCCACTCGCAGTGAGTGAAAGAAGTCTTGAAGTTCCACCAGGAGCAAGTTTTAAATAGTTTGCATTAATTCCAGGTACTATGTATGCAGCTGTATAAGCATCATTATGAAGGGATTTTTTCCTGAATTTTTTTATAAAAAGCAGGAGAGAACCACAAAAAATAATTCTTAAACAGTATTTCCCTCCTCTCCTTTGTGACAAAGTACTGCACAAAGAGAAACAAACACCAGTTTCAAGTGTTCATGCGACTGTGTAATAAGAAACAATCCAGTTGAAAACCACTTTAAATTGGATTAGTTTTAAATCAGATTAGCTTCCTGACCTATTGCAATAAAACAAAATGGTACCAACACTAGTGCTGGCACAAGGAACAGAATGGGAATATGCAGCCTCTGACGTCAGACACGGGTAGGAGCATTTTCGCCTGCAGCCTGCACTTACACTAGCCTAAGGAAAGCAGACATTCAGACCAAAAACCACCTCCTAGTCAGCAAGAAAGAAAAAATGAAGATGCAATTACATCGCATCTCAGCACGGCACTTACATATGTAAGTTTGCAGACGGCATTTGCTTTCACTGCAATGTTATCCTGCTTTAGCTCCTGCTTGATCTCATCGATGCACTGGGAGATGTATTTTGCCTGGGGAAAATAAACAAGACAAATTTATGCTTATTTACCAGTTTTATAGAATTCCAGCATGATAGCAGGGAAAAAGCAGCAGAACTCATCATTCGCAAGCACCAAACCTCACACACACACAGAGTTGAGGTAACCACTTAATTCTGACAGAAGTGCTCATTAACAAGAAACATCACAACTCTATTACAAACCCAAAAGTACCCCGAGATGTTTCTTCAGTAGGTTTCCCTCCTCTCCCTCGCTATTGCACTGCTCAGCCCAGAGCTCTAGTTACAAAGATTTGTGAAAAACAGTTGTTCAATGGAGATCAGGTACCTTGGAGTCTAAAAAAACCCAAGTTCAACCATTTCTAGAACACAGACGAGTCGCTTACCTCAACGGGAAGGCAGAGATCACCCATTCATTACGTGTCTAGAATAAACTATGTCAAACTCTATTAATAGCCCACAAATTTAAGGTGAGTGATGAAAACACTATGAGTTACTCTGCCTTTGGGCACGCTGTATAGAGATGGCACTGCAGATGTGCGCCCACAACAGCCAGATTTCATACGGGGTACATGTACTTCTGGCCTCAACCACACAAGGACACCCCCTCCCTGGTTCACCACTCAGATGAGCCATTTTGCCATTTACATATTTTGATAAGTAACAGTTATTTGTACAAATTCCTCAGTAATTCAGAGAGCCAAATGTCACAATGTTTACATTTAAATATTGGTCCTTCATTTCTTTCCAGACAATCATGTCTGGGCTTGTGGGAGGGATGTGGCAAATGCATGGTTTAAAAATATCTGTACACATTTTTCTCTAGAAGTAGGCTTAGCATAGTCAGAGATTCCTTCAGTTCACAATTAATTATGATTTAAGAACTGAAAGTATCTGCTATGGAAATCATGAAAATTTAACAGCAGAGAAATAATCTCTCCTTAGAAAGCCATACATGCACCAGGGCATTTCATATTCAATATAAATAAACCAACTGCCAGAGTAACCAGGTCAGAGACAGATGACCTAGTTCCAAAGTAAAATTCTGCCTGAATACCACTACCTTCCACCCAAAAGATATTTTCAATGCATAAGTCTACTGGCCTGCTTTTAATTAACATTTCTGCCCTCTACACTAAATTTAGTGTATTATCCTAACCATTTCTTGATCTTTTACAATGTCCTCGAGTGACAGCCATGCTTCAAGTCATAAAAGTTTGCTGCTAGAAGCAGAAAATGTTATTTTTAATAAATAGCAGGTGACAGCAAGAAGAAATTGTACAAGGTCTGTAGTGCAAAGAAACACTGCAGTGATCCAGGTGAGCAAAGGCAGCAACTGAATTTTAATGAAGGGACTTCATCCTCCAAGCAGCAGTCACGCACCGACAATTTACTGCCATCATTCAGAGTCTGGCGATACCAGAATCGGAATCGCCATCAGGACGCGCAGTGAATACACACAATTCAGAGGAGCAGCAGCTTCACTGTTTTAACAGCTTCTATATCAGCAGAATCATTATTTGGCTTTTCTCTCAAACCTTGCACTTACAGAGGGATAAAAACCAGCTCCTCCATGGCACTGGCAAGGAGCTCAGAGGGAACCACGTTTCTTATTTTGAGGCTTTTAGTAAGAGTCGTCGTTGACCTTCACAGAGCTCCTGTCTGAGCCATTCCTGCAGCTGACTGAAGTCCCTCAAACAACAGCGCTGCTCTCCAGCACAATGTAACTCGGAAGGTCTGACGAAAGCAAGCTGACAAAAGAATTTACTTGAGGAAATTTAAGTTACTCCTAAATGCCTGGATTTGGAGTAGAAATACTATGTTTGCAATGAGGATTTTCATGTTAAGGGAGGGCATGCTGAACACCAAGTAACCCTTCCTCTACAGAGATTCCCATCTATCCAACCAGATACATCTGCCAAAACTGGAGATGCCATAACCCCCAAACTCTCAACCACATATAGTTCAGGTGTCTTCTTCCTAGAAGCAGAAGATTTGGGATTCTAAACCCATTGCCTGAGAGTAATTTAGGTCTGGACAACTCCCATGGGAAGTTTAAATTCCTGAGTATCAACTAAAAAAATCCTTCTAGTAACAGAAAATAAATACTTGAGCAGAGATGCTGAAATAATAACCTCCACAACATGAGACTGATTCTAGAAATGCTTTGTCCCTGGCCTTGAATATTTTATGCACACGTAGGAGCACGCTGGAACAGTGCCACAGAATCCTTCACGTGTATCTCACTGCCACATCTTGGCCAGCACCGGCTATCGGTGGACAACGTGAACATGCAGATTCTCACTCTTTATGTCCAGAACCAGAAAGAACTACTGTCATTTCCCACAGCATCCATCCCACAACTGTTTAAACAGTAGCTTACGTTTCCCTAGAAGCCTCTTGGGAGTTGAATGCAAACCACTGTGTGACCAGGAAGGGAAAGAAAAAAAAAAATGGAACAGTTCAGTAACGTACATCCTTGGCACGGCCAAATAGAGGCTCCTGAGTCACCAGCCCCACTTGATGGCCCCAGTGGCTTGCAGGCAAACCCCTCTCTACCAACGAGTCTAACATAAAGAACGACTTTTGGAAAAGTATATTACAGAAGTCAAACTAAAATATGGGGTTCTAAAGAGCAGAAAGAAGTCCTTCCAAAATAGCTATACTTCAAATCCTAAAAGACTACAAGGAATGAAAGACCCTATATATAGAAAGCTTTAAAGGATCAGCAGGTATTAACTTTTTGTTAATCTCTGTGGAGTAGCACTGTTGTGAATATGAAGAATATGAAGAAAACTGATCTATTTAGTCTCCCACTTAAATCCAAACCCCAACCACCACACTCTAGCTAGACTGGCTACCACATTTAACACCTACATAAACACGAAGGGAATGAGTACGCATGCGTGGATCTTTAGCAAAGCTCTTCCCCACTCTCTGGCTGGTGGAAATGCTGACCTCTGCAAAGCGCCAGACAGGAGGCTGCACTGAAGCATTTCAACACTGAGCAATACCCTTAGGCCCCACACTGCAGCCTGCAGCTCCTCAATCCACACAGCCAAACTGGAGAGCAAGAGGGAGAACAACCACTTGATGCTATGAAGAAAAAATGGTCGTCACTCAGCAAGGCCTAAATATTTGCAGGGAAAAAAAACCCCAAACATTTACATACCAAAACAGGACAAAATGTGGGTATCTTTCTCAGAACTGATTCACTGACAGTTTTTGTATAAATTCTTCTAATACAGCAATTCCCTAGAGAGGTAATTAGAAATAAATACTTCCCAGGATGTAACTTGCTCAGTTTTTCCTTAAATGCTTTTGAGATCCCATGAAGAAAGGAACGTAAAAGGAAAATACTTCAGAGTCCATTTACACTCACAGTGTTCATTTACAAAATCAATTGATTTCTTAACTATCAATTCCTTACTAATTCCATGACAGTCTTACTTGAAGTTTTGCTGGGATGCCACTCAATTGCTCACACCTTTTGACTGGTCAGCCGAGGAGCACTCCTAAGTCACAATATTTATAGACCTTTGGACATTCACAACCAGACTGCTTTGAGCAATTATAAGGCAGCTTTTCACTCCTGGTGTAGTCGAGAACAAACGGAGCCATTAAGGGAAAAAACATGCTCAGGATGATGGCAACACAGGCAAAGCTGCGAATCTGCAGGCAAAAGCTGAAGGGCATATGATAACACAGGGAAAAGAGCTGAGAGGAGCTCTTTTCTCTGGGCATGGCTGCCAAGTGGGAAAGGAGCCTTTCCCAGCTCAGTGGAAAAGGCTCCTTAATGAAATGCTATAGCAACCACTTGGGTGATTGTTTTCCGTCGCACATCCCTCAGAAGGGGGAAGATTACAGAAACACGCTCCAAGCAGCACAGCCAAAACCCAAGGAAAGCATGCAGATGTTAGTGCTAATTACTCGACAATGCTGTGAATACAGCACAAAGGCGGCACTGCCATATTTTTAATGTATTCCACCAAACAGATGCAGAAAGTGCTTTATATCCATTAACAAAATACACAACCTAATTTTTAAAATAAGTCCAAATTCCTCAAGAATGCTAAGACCTCACCCAGAAAATATGTGCATTTAGACTAGCATGAGTGGCTAAAACAAGAATGAAGGTATCAAGAACCTAAGACACAATCCCTTTGAAACAAAGGGAGGGACAAAGAGAAAAGTGGGTCATGGTAAGAAGCCAAAACGTCAGTTTATAGGATTTTTCCTTTCCCAAGCCACGTTTCTTGAATTAACTTGAAAAATCACTATAACCTTACTCGAAGCTCCAGCCAAGACAGAGCTTGGGGTTTGCTGACAATTTCGGAGAGGTTCACAAAAAAAAAAAATGAGATTTTTTTTCCAAGCAATACGTGAACGATGTTGAAAAATCACTAATCCTACTGAACAACAATTACATTCCAAGGAAATGTGACTCTCTATATTGTACTTTTGCTGGCTGATGAGAAGACACTAACAATTAGAAAGGCTATCATTGGAGAACCTTTACGTTAAGTCTAATGATTAAAGCTATTAATTTCTAATAGTCTTAAAGAAGCTGTATTCTTATCTCAACCAGAAACCACCTTCCAAAATTGAGAGATGGCAAACTCCTGTTCTTACCCCTTTGGGTTACAGCCCCGCAAACCAAAGGCAACAGAATCCTTCACAGTCCTTGCCAAGATCCAGCCTCAATCCACTGGATCTGCTGCAGGTGATGAGAGATTCAAAGCTTTCATTCACTGCAACAGCAAAGTGTTTCCCACCCACAGAAAATGGCAAAATGTAAGTGAATATTAGTCCTTATGAGTTCTTCTTGCCCTTTCAGGGTTAAATACAGTGTTTTAAGGAAAGGATGATTAACAGTGAACACACAAAGAGCAAGATATGATCTGATATAATGCGTAACTACACCATTCTAAAACAGGAAAAGTTTGGAGTAAGTAGAACATAAACCTAAATAACTGAAATAAGCACAAACTATGACATTTATTTTGGTTTAAG